CACTATACACCTACATGTGTCAGAAAGCTAGAATTAATAGAAGTAGGCAGTTTATAACAATGGGGTTTTTAAAAATAGCCCAACAAGAAATAATTATATGGCTGAATTTTATCTTGGCAATTACTGTTCCAAAAACTGATGAAGCAGGCCCGCTGTGAAGAGACTACCACGTAGTATAAGAGACATCCCACAGACATAAGTTCATTCAGAAGAAGCATATATTTTGTAAGAAAGTAGTCTAACCTCCTGGTCTGACATATACTTCCACATCCCTGTTCCATTCCTCCCAAGTCTAATTGGGGTTTTCCTATCAGATAAATAAAAAATACAATGACAAATCTAGGAAAGCAGTTCATAACTACTCCTCCTCCTCCTCCTCCTCCTCCTCCTCCTCCTCCTCCTCTTCCTCTTCTTCTTCTTCTTCTTCTTCACCTGTTCTAAAGGAATGCTGAGACAACTGTTTTTTCTGTTGAAAAACCCCCCACGCCCAAAATAGCTTAAAAGACATTTAAGGTTGGGAGTAAAATGGAAAAGTTTATGTGACCACAAGGAATATGTAACTGTATTTTTTGAAATTGCTTACCAAAGAGTAAGTCCCATTGAACCCATTGGGACTTACATTTCAGAAGATATGTACAGGACTGCAAGTTAGAAGCTTCCAAAGGTGAAAGGTATAAGGGATAATAATTATACGAAAGATAAAACAATATTAGTTAGAAGCATCTTTGTGAGGAACAAAAAAATACTGAAAAATAGTATTTTCCTTTTCATTAGTAGAATAAGTTGTTTTGAGGGGGAAACTTAATCAAATATCCTTGTGCTAAACGCTGCTGATTAACAGCAATTTGTATTCAAATTATTCCAACCCCAGTTTGAAAATAGTTTTCTGTAATTGCTTGATTAAATTATGATTTTTTTTCAACATTTGTGAGATGTGCTCAGGTGCCGTTGACATCTGGCTGTAGTTAAGCAGAAAGATACTTTTGTTAGTGAACCGGATGACACACTCACTGTCCCAATCATATTTGAAACAAATGTAGAGAGGACAACCCAGGTTTGCTACTCTTGTTAGGGTCTTGGTGCAACTCATCTGTTAACTCAGTCTATCCATAGTTTATGCACATTTAGGTGCATGTAAATGGGCCAGGAAGTAACATATTTCCCAGGGTAGCTTCCCCCTATGTCTTTGACTACTTTGTTTCGGAAACAGATGTTTCGGCACATCTTGAGAATGATTTCATCTCTCCCTCACAGCACTTGGTTTTGGAAAGGCTTCATTAAATACTATATAGTCAAAGAAACCAAATTATAATTAAGGTTTTAAGTAGCTAAGCCATGCTTTGGTTAAAGCCAACAAAATCAGAGTGATTTTGAAGTGCAGAAGTAAGAAAATAATGTTCAATGTATGTTTAGTTATTACTGGTGGTAGCAAGTGCCCAGTTCCCTCATGCAGTCCGTGTTAGTATGTTGAAGCAAAGTCAACAGAGTCCATTGATATCTCTGCATGGTGAGTCATGCATTTGATAAAGGTTTGTGTGCCATGATACATTTGTTGGTCTTAAACTTTAATGTGACATGGGACTCTGGCTTTTACAAACATGCACGTCACAGGACCATGGACACAACTCTCCACCTTATAGGGCCTCCAATACAGTGGAGTCAATTCACACAGTAAGCTGCCGGTCAAACCAGATGATTCAAAATATGTGCAAAATGGTTCTTTATAAAATCAATTTTATGATGAGGCAAAGGCAGTCCTTTTGCTGCCTTAGCAGATGATGTCTACTAAAGAGGTACAGTAGGGCAAGCTCTGGGCTTGAGAGCACCCTAGGCAAAGTGACCTCTGGTGGACCTTTCATCTATTGGTGGGCACACTTGGGCTTACCTGTTGGTGACAAGATGAGGCAGGAGCTCTTTGAGCAAAACTGCAAGCAGCACTAGGTGGCTGAGTTTGGGCATACTTTGATTTCCTTCCTCAACCTGGTGCCCTCCATAAGGTTTGGAATTCAACTCCCAACATCAGCCACACTGGCTGGGGCTAATGAGAACTGTAGTCCAAAACATCTGGAGGAACCAGGGCAGGGGAGGCTGTCCTAGAGTGATACTTTTGTTGGAAATTGATTGTGGGAAAATAATGGGACTTGTGGGAAAATGTAAGCTAGCTCCAGCCACACTGCGATGCTCAGTTTGCTAGGCCAGATTTTTTTAAAAAAAACTAAGGAACCATTATCAGTAGGCCCTGTTGGGGTGCTAGGACCTTGGCAGTTGCCCAGGGATGTCAGGTTCTGACACTGGCCTTGCTACCAGCTGTGATGAAGTATTGTATTTGTATCCAATTATGTGGCACATAATCAAATGACTTTCAGAATTGCATCTTTTGAGTGTGTTTGTGTGATAACTAAAAATATTTTGTTCCAGGTAGTAAAATTCTATCCTTGCATATTATTTAAGAAACAATAAGACTGCATTGAGCAGCTTGCTTATTGTTTTCCACCCTATGATGAGCTTCTCTTGCACATAGAGTGAAGCAAGTGTGCCTAATTTCATCTGACAAATGTTAGGGGGCATGTCACTGTGAGGAGCTCAGCTGCCTCTTTAGGAGCAACTCACCACAACTGGTCTCAGCCAGTCTAGCTACAAGAGATCTCTCCAGGTCACAGTGCCAAAGCAGAGTTGCTCTTATGATTTTGTGCAAGCCTGTTGTACATGGCTGTTGTTTGCGCTTTCTATGTCATGCTGAATATTAGAGTCTACTTCTGTGGCTACGGAATAATAAAAGGAGGTAAGATGGGTAAAGGAGGTGATGTACAGGGATGAAAAGAACGACCAGATGCAGAAACCGAGCAGCACGGAGGGAGCAGGCAAAGAATAAAAGGACCGGCATGGGAAGCTTGGTAATGGGAAGCATACAACAGTGTGGAGTAGTGGTTTGAGTGTTAGACTAGGAGCTGGGAGACCTGGCTGCATTCAGATGGCACTTTATTCCATCGTCAGGATGTTTCCTTACCTGTTAATTTCAATATTTTATGTGAACTTTCACATGACGTAAAGTCCTATTCTGGAAATCTAGCAGGGTCTCATGTAAGTTTAGCGGTTATTTCAACGTGAACTGGTGGTTTGTAGCCCTGGAAACCCATAATATCATGTGAGTTTTGCTCACAAAACAATTTTTGGGCAATATTTTGGTATATCATGCAGTGAATCATGGGGGATTCTGTGCATGCATGCACAGAAAGGATAGGGAATTTGCAGCATCTCCAATGGCATTTCTTGTTGTGTCACACCATGCCCACTTGTGTGAAGAAAAGTTAATGTGACATGGCTATATATTGATAAAAAAGCTACAGTACCATAATGCAACAGGTACTGTGGTCTAAAAAAGGATGTTAGAAATCCTGACAGAAGTACAGTGGTACCTCGGGTTAAGAACTTAATTTGTTCTGGAGGTCCGTTTTTAACCTGAAACTGTTCTTAACCCGAGGTAACACTTTAGCTAATAGGGCCTCCTCCTGCTGCACAATTTCTGTTCTCATCCTGAAGCAAAGTTCTTAACCCGAGGTACTATTTCTGGGTTTTCAGAGTCTGTAACCTAAAGCGTCTGTAACCTGAAGCATCTGTAACCCGAGGTACCACTGTACTAGCATTATAACCCGCAAAATTAACACAATAAACCCCATGTCTTGATGCCTTCCAGAATTCATTTTCTCACTCAACTACTGGGTGAACTTGGACCAGTCACTGTCTCTTAGGCTAGCCTACCTCACAGGGCTGTTGTGAAGATAAAATGGGGAGGGGTAGAGCCATACATGTCCTCTTGAGCTCCTTAGAGGAAAGGTGGGATATAAATGTAACAAAATCCTACTGTGAAAATCCAATAATGAGGTAGTTTCTAGACTAATAGGTGGGTTGATACACATTTAGAAATTGGAGTATACAATTTTCTGAATCTTGTGATGCAGTTCCATTAAAAAACAAATACAAAAATGTGTATTTTAGGAGGAAGTATGTGCATACAAAAATGCAAATATCCCTCAATAAGAGTATTAAAGATTACTTCAGAGGGTACAACTCTTCAGCTCATGTAAGCTTCACTTCATAAAAAGCATCTCAGTGTCCCTACTGCCCTTTCTTCCCTTACTGATAGAGGCCATCAAAAAGAACTAGTGTCAAGTTGTCATGAGACACAAAGCAGAATAAGCACACTTTGCCCTTTCACCTAGCAGTTTGTAAACAGAGATTAAATAAACACTGTGTTGTCTGCACCTATAAACATTGTCTGAAGGTATAAAGTGTCTCCAGATACATGGTCTGTTTAGAAGGAATGGGAAGCATCTTTTGTAAACATTATAGAAATGCAAGTAAACATTATATGATATTAACTCTTCCACTTAAGGGAAGAGTTAAGACTCATCCAAATCCACATGTGCTCCAAAAAGCATGGAACATTTATGTTTAAATTATCATGTTAATTTGCACCCCCATGTAAGCAGTGAAGACATTGTGAAGCCTCAACATCTTGTGCTTACATATACTTGAGGCTGTGTACACACTATAACTTTAAAGCACATTCAAAGCACATTCTATGCCTCAGATAATTCTGGCCATTTTGGTAAACCCCTCACAGAGTTACAATTTCCAGCAACCCTTGAGAAACTGCAGTACCCAGAATTCTCTGAGGGAAAGAATGTGCTTCGAATGTGCTTTAAAGAAATAGTGTGTATACAGCCGTAGTCTTCATGCACCCATAATCTGTCTCAGACTGCCTGTCCCAAGCCTCTTCTACTACAGGGTGGGGGCAGGACAGACTCAAGACATTTTGCTGCCAGAGGCAAAGGAAAAGGAGCCCCCTCCCAAATACCATGTGCTGAAGTTCATGGCTTTGGCAGCTGAATCTTCATCCAACAATGGCAAAGGGAGAAATGTCATACAATAAATTCTCAAATTTGCCCAGTGTGTTGGAGAGGTTGAACTTTCATAGACGTTCTTCCTGTATTAGGCAATCCTGAAATAGCTCAGTTGGTAGAGCGTGAGACTCTTAATCTCAGGGTCGTGGGTTTGAACCCCACATTGGGCAAAAGATTCCTGCATTGCAGGGGGTTGATCTAGATGACCCTCATGGTCCCTTCCAACTCTATCATTCTATGATCACAGCTACCTGTCAATGTTGGGGGCCAGGTTTGTGGGCTCACCCCTGCCTCTACTGTTTTAACACATCTTGTGTTCAGGTGAATGCCTGAACATGGCTATAGTTATAGCTTCTTTGTCACTCCTGCATTGCTGTGCCAACTCACCTCTTTCAACCACTGCTTGTTGTTGTTGTTTAGTCATTTAGTCGTGTCCGACTCTTCGTGACCCCATGGACCAGAGCACGCCAGGCACTTCTGTCTTCCACTGCCTCCCGCAGTTTGGTCAAACTCATACTGGTAGCTTCGAGAACACTATCCAACCATCTCATCCTCTGTCGTCCCCTTCTCCTTGTGCCCTCCATCTTTCCCAACATCAGGGTCTTTTCCAGGCAGTCTTCTCTTCTCATGAGGTGGCCAAAGTATTTGAGCCTCAGCTTCACGATCTGTCCTTCCAGTGAGCACTCCGGGCTGATTTCCTTAAGAATGGATAGGTTTGATCTTCTTGCAGTCCATGGGACTCTCAAGAGTCTCCTCCAGCACCATAATTCAAAAGCATCAATTCTTTGGCGATCAGCCTTCTTTATGGTCCAGCTCTCACTTCCATACATCACTACCGGGAAAACCATGGCTTTAACTATACGGACCTTTGTTGGCAAGGTGATGTCTCTGCTTTTTAAGATGCTGTCTATGGCATTGTTTAATTATTCTGCTCCACCCAAGGAAAGTTCTGTAGCCCTTCTGACAATTCTCTTCTTTGTCTAGGCTGCTGCATAAGAGTACAGGAATCATTTCCCTTCTTCCTGTGGGCTTCCTTATCTTAGCTGAAATCAGATTTCACCTTGCCTTTGAGGTGCAGAACAATCCCACAGAACCATGGGAAAACTGTCTGGACTCTATCTAGAAAAATCAATGAAGGTGAAGACATCAGCGGGTATATAGTGCTGATTTCTTGACAGCACCACTTAAAAAGAATTGCTGTACCCTGCTTTGCACACGACAACGGGAGCGAATTGTGTGATATAAAGAACCAACTAGTAATACAATTCTCATGGAGCAATTAAGAACAAAAGCAGGATTGAATTGTTTTTGAATTGGCATCTGAACTTCATTTAAATAAAAACCCTTCTCACATTTAAATGTTGCATTACACTCTGAAATGAAAGTACTTAGTATGCTGATTCTCACTGATTAGACTTTCATTTCAGGGAGGCTGGAGCGTGGAAGGGAGGAGAATGGGGATGAGGGGAGTGCAAAATATTCCTTGCTTGTTTTTATAAAAGTGACTGACTCCTTAGATTTGTGCGTGCACACACTCCCTCCCCTCATGATCCAGACACTCCTGAAAATGCCACATTGTTAAAAGAGTTCTCTTTAGTCTTAAGCTGAGAGCCAATATACCTTGATTAAGAAGCTATTAATATGATTTGGTGGGAAGCTAATCTGTCATATAACAGTCTGTAGGATCCACTAAAAAGTCAGAGAGATATTACAACACAGCATGAGCTACTCTCTGATCTTCTAAATACCTGGACTGCATTTGCTTCTACAGCTTCAGTCTTATCTAACCTTCTTTATGCTCACCTGTACATTTGTATTAAAGCCCCAGTCAGCAGCAGATTCTCACACACGAGGGATTTCGTATGGTGCAGAAATTAGCCATAGTACGTACATGCATTTGCACTTTAAATTCCTTCTTGCCACAAGACCTTACTTACAAGTTGTAAAGAAATATGTAGGTGGGGGAACTTTATCCCAAGACACATGTATATATGTTAATCTAAATGTAAATCATATGTCACAAGCATTGTTTGTTGCCTACATTACAAGAGCTTTCGGAGGCCTCAAACGTCACCCCAAGTTCAACGGCACAAGCCACTGTCACAAACAAATAGATTGCGGCTCTTTCCTCTTAATATTTGAGAAAGACCGAGCAGTAAGCAAAGAACAAAAGAGACTGAAAGAGGCTTCACTTATTTTGCATTTATTACCTAGACCTGTGGTATGTTGTGCTGTCTTCAAAGACATGGGGTGGGGTGATCACTTGCTCTGCATGCAGAAAATCCCTGGTTCAATCCCTGACAACTCCAGTTAAAATAGTATCAGGTAGCAGATTTTGAGAGGATGTTGTGCAGCTCTGCTAAGTATGGGGTTTGTGTTTGCCCTCGCCCCCTCCTTTTTTAAAAAAAGGCTCAGGAGGTTTGCTCCCAAAGGAAAGGGATTACATGGGGCTGGAGGGACCAGTCAGGAAGGGGTAGGAGTCCAGCTTTATAAGCTTGCTCCTCCTCTAACACCTTCCTCTTTGCAGTTTGTGCTGTGCCCACCCCCCTGTAGTGTAGGCTCTAGCTATTTGTCTGCTAAAGGGGCAGGGCTGGGGTTTTTTAGGTGTGTGTAGGATTCCTTCATTATTACATTGCTACAACAGCACTTCCCCCAGAACAGTAGCACTATACGTTCTTGCGTATAGAATTGTAGCGTTGGAGGTGGGGTCTTCTAGGTCATTTAGTCTTGGTATAGGAAATCCAGGACCAGAACAGTGCCAGCTTCCCATGTTTTGCAGACTTAACAATAGCAGAATGAGAAAAGGGTAGCATGTGGAACCCAGTGCAGTTTTCTATCCACTAGACGGAGCCTGCCGAGATCACGAGCCACAAATAAAACAGGGTGGATCACCTCCCTATTATAGTTACTCCAGGCAGGGTGCAAAAAAATACAGATGTTTATCCAGCACCTGGTGCACTGCAGCCTCTAACTGGTGCGCTGCAACTGACCCCAGTACCATGGGTTTGACAGGCCTGCTCTAGATCATGCTCTCTGTGCTTGCTAAAGGATTCATTGACCACTCCTTTGCAGCTGGTATACAACAGGGTCAGGTTCCAATGACAGTCTGGAGTGCATTAATATTGCCAGTGACCATGGTTAATTTCATGTTTGATTAACTCTCAGATTAAGCTGTAACAGGCTCTTTAGGAATCATAGGAAATCCATTCTTAATAGCGGTTAATGCATATCAGTAATTCAAGGAGGGGAAAAATTGATAGATGGCTGGAGCTTTAGCACCGCTTTTTGAAAAGTGATGAAAAAGGACCACATATTAATGTGTATGACTGAGCATCCAGCAGTTCTCTATAGATTTCTCTCTCTTACTCATCTGTTTGAGGCAGTGTTGGTAACAGTAAGTTTGGAGTTCCCGCCCCCTCCTATCCGCAATGGACAGCTCCCATCCAAGGGCACAATGAAAAGGGTGCATTTGCAGCTAAGCTTTCTTTCCTTGAAATCACAGGCATTTAATATCAAGAAATCACATACCTAAAACCTTGCTAAGCATCTTGATACTGGAGTGCAGTGCTGGGGAAACCTGTAGCTTTCAGGCCTAATTATATCCAACCGAGGTGCTAATTTGGCCTAGGAAACCCAATGTAATATCTTATGTGACATTAGGAGTGGGGCAGCTAAAGACGTGGCTGCAAAGTAACAGTTGGGAACTTAAAGTGATTCTGATTTATCTATAGCAAATGGGACGCAGTTACAGCGCTGATCGGCTGATTACTACTCAGAGAGCTAGTATGTTTGCAGGCACAGTTTGGATTTGCAAGAATTTAAACTGCACCTGCAAGCAGACAAAGCTGGGCTCACTGCCCACATTGATCAGCAGACTGGTATCGATACCAAACTCCATTGAAGGTGTGCCCTCTGCAACAATCAGTTGATTGGTGCTGATAGCATGCCTTCAAATGGATTTTCTGTTAGCACCAATCAGCTGATTGGCACTTGAAGTCACTACTTGATGTCAAAATGACATCAAATGATTGACAGGTGGGGAGTCCTACCTCTCATAAATGGCCAATGGAGGGTGGGCCAATGGAGGATACCCACTCCTGCTGAAACATCTGTATCTGCCCACACATTCTTACACAGGCTTTTTCATATATGATATCAGTTATAAGGTGCTGAGCACACGTGTTTATGTTGCATGGATTGGGAAGCTAATATACACACAGTCTTGTCAATTGTTGTGCTTCTGGCAAAATAAACACTTTCAGTTTACTCCATAAATGGCAGTTTCAAGGGAAGGGTCTGATTTTTTTTTTTTTTAAGATATTGTTGTTTTACGGGGAATGGTCATTGGGCAGAAACAGCCCTATTGACTCGCCAGATTGAATTTGTTTTGCTTTTTGGGTGTGTTCAAAACATTCTGCACACATTATCTCAGTACTCCTTACCACAACTCGGTAAGGTACCGGTAGTTTAGGATTGTCAACCCCATATTACAGATGCAAAAGCAGTGGGTTGTCTATGGCCAGCTGTTGAGTTTGTGGATGATATCAGATTTGAAACAAGGTCTATTTCCCTGCCTCCAGTTTTAGCTAGTAACTTCAGCATGTCCACAATACAGTGGTACCTCGGGTTAAGTACTTAATTCGTTCCGGAGGTCCGTTCTTAACCTGAAACTGTTCTTAACCTGAAGCACCACTTTAGCTAATGGGGCCTCCTGCTGCTGCCGCGCCGCCGGAGCACGTTTTCTGTTCTTATCCTGAAGCAAAGTTCTTAACCCGAGGTACTATTTCTGGGTTAGCGGAGTCTGTAACCTGAAGCGTATGTAACCCGAGGTACCACTGTACATTATGGTCTGCCACTTGACAGTATGGCTCTTTTGGTCCACTTCAGGGGGCATGGTACTATGGAAGGACTTTTATTTCTGGGTGTGAAAGATTATTTCCCATCTGATTTCTAGAGGCATGCATGCTTTACAGTTCTTCCTTCATCCTTCCCCCCCCCTTCATTTATAGCATCTTTTCCTCAAGAATTTATCATTTCTATCCTCCTCCAGCCCTATCTGACATCCTGCCAACAATACCCTTTGTGACTGTTTATATTGGGCCTGTTCCCTTCCTGTTATCCATTTTGTTCTCTCTTTGTTAGCATTTTAGGCAGTGTAGCATCCTAGTTT